TGCTATTCTGTTTTCTTATTCTAAGTGTAAATTGCCTTGTTCCGTTGGCAAGATGTCTCTTTTACTACCTTAATCCAAGGGCAAATGCACTTATTTTAAGAAAAAAAATGACTCTAGATCTTGATTTTTTTCCAGTGTAGCAGTTTGTAAGCAAACAAACGTAATAAAAAGCGTATAAAATGACATATATATGGTGGTGAGGTTACAATTTATAAATATTCACAAATTAGAATGAAGCAAATTACATTTTTTCCAAGGTGAAAAAAATTGATAATTGAAATAAAATATCTGTTAACAAGAAAGTTTGCACCCAAGCATCTGATGACCTCTCACCCCTTCACCCTCGCATGACAATATTAAAAGATCTTAGATGTTTTAAGGGTTGAAACTAGAGGAGCAGGAAGAAGCCAATGGGAGCTTGTGAACAACATGTCAGCTTCAGCCACATAGGCCCGGCCAGGATTTGAACCCACAATCTAAAACCTCTTTAGCCATGAACAAGCCTTTGTTTTGTCCCAGTTTGTGTTTTTTTGGAAGTTCAGCATCTAAGCTCTAAGCCTCATGCTGCTGTTATGAAAGTAGGGAGGTTTTGTGTAACAAAATCTTGATCCTTCTTAAATTGGATCAAGGATTGTGGTGGAGGATTCTGGAGCTAAAATCTTACAAAAACAGAAAAGGACCTCAGAACTGAGCAGTAGCTGAGACCGAACAGGCTGTACAAGGTCAGACGAAATGCAAGGAACAACATTAACATGACTGCAAACCAAAGAATGCTATAACGATATTTTTTCCATCTAATCTACAGGAGCTGTCTACCTTGGAAATGCAGTTTCCATAAAGCCCATTGATCGTAAAGCAGTGCATCATCGGTCCATTCATCAGTGAGCGGAAAAAGGAACTCAGAGTTGGAGGAAGGACAGCCAAGCTTCCCTCTGATTTAGTTCTCTAAATCCAAAAGATGTCAACAGAGAGCGCCGACACAATAGGAAGAGGAACCAAAACCTCTAAAACGTCAAAGGATCACAGAAAGGTAAAAAAAACTAAATAATCTGACAGATTTGTTCTACTATTTCACACAAAGTTGATCATCAACAGCAGGTTCACAATCAATTTCCAAGTGATGATTCGCTGTAAGTAAGTCAACAATAATGGATATTTTAGTATAAACAATTTGCCAACATCAAAGTCTTTAAGCTAATGGTAATATCCACAGATTCTCAAGGTTTCCGTCATTTTTATTTATTTTTCTCAATTCCTTTTCACTTCCAACAAACTGGCGATTTGAACCCAGAAAACCAGCCAATCAGATGGCAGCAACCTGATGCATTTAGAAGAAGACTTGTAGCGGTTTCAGTTAAGCATCACTATGTGGAGGGAAAATCGTATTTTTGTAATGGTTGTTCAATGAAAATGGGACTGCAGTTTTCAGAAATTGGAAAAATGGTGCAGATGTTCTGTCAGATCAGCATATTCAGAGTCAATCCCAGTTTATCCCTTCAGTTTTGCTTGAAAAATAGACTTTAAACTACCTCAATCGAGTGTAACCCTTTAGTCATGTACAAAAAAGTATTTAATTATTTACTGTTTGGTGTTTTTTTAGGCATACGGTGATCTCATCTTAAATTGTTTTTGTTTTTTGTACATGACTAAAGGGTTACACTCGATTGAG